GGCGGCGGCCCGCAGGACGCGGGGGCGAAAGTGGGTTAAAAGCACGCTGGTGAGTAACAACAACTCATCTCACAGTTTTACCTGAAAAAAACACAGTTGTTGCCACAAGCAGGGCATATTCTGTCTCCGTCACTTTAAGTTCTCCCATGCTTCTGTAGAAGTAAAATAGCGCAGTAATAAACTCCTCGGTTATACCTTGGAAATGAAATAAAATTATCAGAATATTATTTCAGTACAGAAACATTCTGAGTCTTCTTTGCCCTAATCTTTTAAAGTTCCAGGCTGTTCCGTTTCATGAAAGGGTTAATAAGCTTAACGAAAACCACTTTAATTCCTATCATGGTGGTGCTGTGCAGCTCTTGATATAGCCCAAGATTTCTTTATCCTAGGATATAAGCAAAGGCAAAAGCCACCTCCTTCTTCCATGAAGAAGTAGTGCCTGAGTGGTGGCAGACCAGCTCCAAGTGGAGGGGAGGACAGGGGGCACCAACAGCATCGCTCGGTGGGGTGGAGAATGTGGTCAGCAAAGTCAGATTTCTAAGTATTTTGTTTCAGAGGCCTCTGTTACCTGTGGTAGTAGTGGAAGTCGGACTCTCTTCATTTGGAGACATTTCCAAGGAATAAATTGCATTCTTATCAAGGTTTTGAATGTGACAACATGTCACATCAGAAAATCTTACATGACCTGCAGCAAGAAGGATGACAGTTCACAGCTAAACATAACGCTACTTTAAACATTTGGCTGCATCTGCTTTGCAGGTAGGTACCTGAAAAATTGTGCATCTTTTTCTCAGTGTCATGCAGAGGGAACAGATAAATTGGAAAGAAAGAGTTCTTTTTGGCCTCCAGCAACAAGTTTATTTGCTGCGTTATTGTTAGTCAAAATAATCTCTTGTGTCAAACTTAGCACAATAGAAGTCATTAATATAGTTCATATTATCTATCCACCCCATAATTTGTTGTGCAAACACTCAAAATTGTTGCTCTTTGTTTGCAACTAGTGTGAGGGAAAATAGAAATCCAATTATTTTTTACTTTTTGGGGTGCTCTGTGAATTAATGCAGATGGAAGGTACGTAGGCATTACTGGTATTACTGTAAGTAAAAAATTGCTTAGTTTAAATAGGCAATTACTTGATATTTGGTGAATAAAAAGGAATGGAAGTTGTTTCGAATTGGCTGAACTATGGGTGTTAATACAAAGCTTATTAGTCAAACTTACTTTCACTTGTTGATGATTGACATTCACTAATTCTTTGGTTATATATCTGGGCTGAACGCAAAAACATTGCCTCAACTGTTGACCCTTTTAGCAGCGCAATCTGATCTTCACTAGCTAAACTTTCAAATCCTGCAGAGAAAGACACTTGTTAAGGCTCGAGGTGGTGGCTGCCTTTAAGCCCCTAATATGAGTTGATAACATAATTTTTTAACAAAGGTCTTTAATGGAAAGGAGGAGCTATAGTTAAAAGACCTGTGTACCAAAGACTAGCTGATACTCTTGGGGTCTTTCCTGCTACTTTGCAGACCAGACAAAAAGATTTTGTGCTGTTGTCGGCGTGCAGAGGAAGTTTAAAAAAGACAAAATTGAGACTAAGCAAGACTTTATTGAAAATTTCATCCTAACGTGTCATTGTTACCTAATATATGTCAAATGGCCTAATGCCTTATACATTTGTTATATTACTTAGTGAATATGGATATTCTCCTTATCCATTGATAGCTGATCTTTTTTTTAATTGTGTTCATCTTTTGACTAACGTATAATCTGCATTTATAATTCAAGAGCAAAGGAACGTAATCCTGTTCTTAATCCTGGTCAAAGCAGAAAACATAACTTTAAGAAAATAAACAACTCATCCATCCTCTCAGACCTGCTCCAGAGGAGCGCTACCACTGATACTAAATAAATTACATCAAATGTCTGCTTTAGACGTGTCAATTGACTTTTGTTAGTGAATTTTACAGCTTAGAGTAATGAACAAATTATTGACCTCCCCATCAAATGTTATTTTGTCAACGTGATATTGAAATGCAGTGGATTTAATTGCATGTTCCCATGTTCTTGTATTATAGGATAATATGAGTAAGAGCACCTGGTACATCCCTCCTATGCTGCCTTTTCTTTGAAGGTACATCTATTTTATCTTTGATGACTATAATAAATTGCAAACTGAATTGGATTTCAGAGTATGTGTTAAAATAATAATTTGCTCAAGATAGTATTTTGAAGTAGATACACTTTTCAGAAAACGTCTCTATTCTGTGTCAGGCATGGAAAAAAAATCTGATTAGAGTAAAAGTTTAGAGAAAGTCCAAATTTGTCTTCATGAAAGAGAATATAGGGAACTACTAGCAAGTACTGGCAAATGGTAATCCTGATCATTAGTTTTTGAAGATGAAATAATCCATTGAATAAGAGTTTTCTTAAAGCTTATACTTTTCTCCGATGCATCTCACCAATATGGTATTTGCTTCTTAAAATAACGTATCTGACTTATAGTGTAACGTTTCCCAAAAGAAGGAACGTACCTGGGAGTCGTCTTGTGAAATCCACTAACACTTGTACGTGAACAACTGCTGTTTCAGAGAGACGCAGAAAACTTTCCTCAGGACTTGCAGTTTGCTGTAGCTGCATGAAAAGACATTTGATATAATCAAAATCTAGTGTTAAAGATAATAATGACTCAGTAATGCAGGCTGATTGTTCTATATACATACAAACTTCTTTGCTTCTTCGAGGGGAATTGTGTATTTTTGATGTGCTGCAACAATGTGGTCAAGAAGTTGATGTTCTCCTGGAGTGAGTTCCATCTTCTCTGGGAACTGTTAAAAAAAAAAAAAAAAAAGAAAAGAATCAAATGACAATGTGTTAAGGCAAAAATAAATGATAAAAAGAGATATTTCAAATAGAAAAATATCCCACTTTTCCAGGTCTTGTTGTAGATGACACATGTTTACTATTCAGCCCCTCATCTTCTAGTTTTATGTTGCAAAGGAAACTGCTCTTCTGTTTGAAATTTTTCCTGAGTCGCTTTGACTTGCACTGTACTTCAGTCAGCAAACCTGTGAGGCATAGAAGCGTGTATCAATGTGTATATTTTCAAAATTAATTATCATTTGAAATGATCACTTGTATCATTATAAATAACATGAGTCTTGCAGTGCAGGAGCTGTAACCTGTAAGGAACTCTGTTTCCTAGAGAATATGGCAAAACACTATTCATTAGGTGAGTTTGTGTTCAGTATCCATCAAAAGCCCGAGCGTTTACAGTCTTCTCATGTTATTTTGCTTGTGGCTCTGTGACATATAAGCATGGGAATTGTTCATGAAAAAATACTATACAATTTTTTTTTTCAAACATGAAAATGCATCTGAGATGCTTGTGGCTGTCCTGTCAAGGTTCTGGATATTTAGCTGTCTCTTGGTAGTAATTAGACCAATACCCTTCAGTTCTAACAAGGAGAAGGGATAGTTTTTGAGAAAGAATTTGTCAGAGTTGATTATAAAGTTAGCCAGCAGAGAAGGAGTACTTACATTCTGCTAGCATTCCTACAGCCTTACACTTCTTCAAGCGACATTCCTGACACTTTCTTCGCATGTACATGTCCATTTCACAGTGACCACCGTTCTTGCATCGGTACACTGCATTTTTGGTGATGCTACGTCGAAAGAAGCCTACAGACAAGAATTAGGTTATGACTGAAGAAATCTAAGGACCTTTATCTCATAATGATCTAAAGAACTAAAGTTTAGGGTTTTTCTACAACTAAAGCTTCGCCTTGGTTTTAAACTTAGTCTTTAACAGCACAGTAATAATGGCTTGTTAGTACTTTCTAACTAATATTAATTGCTGTTTTCCTTACCTGATCAAGACAACTCCCATGTAGTAAGCTAAAAGTATAGGTAATAAGTAATTGTTTATTTTTATTTAAAGTTAATAGCAAGTAAAATTAATAACACTGAAGTAACTGTAATAACTGTTATGAGAAAATCAGAACCTGCTTAAACAGACACAATTCCAGTGAATAACTGATACCAAATCAGTTGCATGAAATGCTTGTGTTAAATATATATTGTGAAAGTATTTCTTCAAAATATGTTATAAAAATGTGAGTCTGGAATCAGCTTCTTAGAGAAAAGGTTCCTCAGATAAATTACAAACCTCTGTAGAAATGTCAACTTAAAAATTAATGAAATTTGTTCCTTTAAAATCACAGGTGTGAAATCTTATCATATTATGTTAAGCACTGTGGGACAACATTCCTGGGTAAGATACAGACAAACTTATTCTCCTCTCACCTTTACAACCTTCACAGGTAAGTGCATTGTAGTGATAGCCTGAGGCCTTGTCACCACACACGACGCAGAGCTCTTCCTGTCCCTTCATTCGCAAGGAAGAATGGTTTAATCTTGGCCTTTTTAGTCCTTGATATCCACTGTCATCAATGTGGGAAGCCATGAAAGAGGGCTTGTTTAAGTCGCAGTTGCTGATTATATACTGTCCATCACTGTACTGAGAGTCCAGGCTATATGTACCATATTGGGATTGTGAAAGTTGTGACTGTAGTACTGGAGGAGGAAATTGAACTGTGGAATACTGACAGTAAGGAGTAGTCTGAAAATCTGTGTCTTGCAGCTGATAATTGATGTGCTCTGGTAAAACATCTAGATAAAAAAAGAGAATAAGATGAAATAATAAATCTGGAGAATATCTTAATGTCAGGTACTTGAAGGGTTTTTAACATTTTGTAGATTAAATTTTTAGGCATAAATATTAGAGGAACACATCTTCAATGACTCATTCTTTTCAAATGTGCTGCCTGTACGGTTCTTAAGTAAAATCTTAGGTGTAGTAAAAATGGTTTGGTAACAGTTTGGGCAATATCATGCCACTCGATTCTTGTTAGTAATTAATTAAATATGACGTGTCAATTGAGTGTATAGTTACCTTCAGAGTTACACTTTCATATTGTTTTTATTTTGTTTTCCTCATTACAGAAGAATATTTTTCCTCTAAGTAAGTGAATTTGTTGATGAGTGAAGTGTTTGTTACTGATAAATATTTCAGGCATAATATTATAAAATAAACATTAAGAATCTGAGAAAGATGTTTCAGAAGTTCTAGAGCGGTAAAATTTACTGTGGCATGAGTCTCAAAGTTAGTAATCAGCAGAGTTAAAAATCAAAGGCCTGTTTTATATTTTAAATATTTTTCCACATATTATCCTATGTAGTTATGAAATTTGATTTTAGCAACATGTATGTACAGAATTTTGAAGAGAGTTTCCTCCTGCATTTCTGGTTACAGTGTTTTCATTTGATTCAACCCCCTCACTCCCGTCAAATTTACAAGGTGATACTGAAGAAAGCTCGTGCAACATGTATCGCGTTCAATTTTGTGCTTCTTCAAATCTCTGTACAAATAAATTGGAGGGTTTTTTAAAAGCAGATTGAAAGTCCTTCTATTTCTAATGGACTTTAAGTCTTGCTTTTACTCATCCAGAATTAGATAACTTATTGCAATTATATTTATGTAAGCTATAGAATAATAACCATTATCTCTTTATAAGGTATCTGGAATACAGTAATAAAACCTGTAACTCCTTCATGCAAGTCAAAGGAAGGGAGCTCCACTGTAATCTTTATATGAAATCATTCGTCAGCATAATCACATTGTGTACAGAAATCTGTATAAGCACACTCTAATATATTTGAACATATTTGCAATATGGACTTGGTCGTCAAATGTGTGGCTTTCTAAGAGCTTTGCAGAGAAAAATTAAAATGAAGAAAAGAACGGTAATTCCCACAAGCATTCATTTTACTATACTGATTTTTCTTAGTATTAAAATTCTGCTTTACTCACCGTAATACTGTATGGGCTCAGCAAGACAATACCCATCAGGTACTGTGACAAATGTATTTGCCATATTCTGCTCCAAATTGCACTGTTTCATTCACTTTGGTATATGATAGACTTTTGAGAAGGAAATCTAGAGAAATGGAAATGTAAGAAAAACATCACTTGAGAAAGAATGGCTCAGTAGGATTAGCTAAGGAGCTGAAAACAGGAAATTCCAGAATATGAAACCATTTGCACATCATAAGAAAATCAGAGGTGGATGTAGAGTCACACAATACTTGCAATGAGTTTGCAAAATGTTAGCTTGAACAAATAATAAGGATTGGGTGTAGAGTCCATTTATACGTCTTCAAGGTGCGTTTGGAACTCTTCAGCTACTGATTTTACATGGAACAATTTGGGGAAATCAGTGTAACCATAGGTGAATTCTCAAGTTTGGGAAGAAATTAAAAGCAGCTTCCCTGGATAGAAAAAACCTTGGTTGCAGAATGAGTTAGGGCATCTGCAGACACCTGAAGTTTGTGCATTTTCTGTTCACTTTTTATCCAGATTTGGAGCATGTAAATATAGGGAAATAGCCTGGAAAGGCGATTTTCCTTCCCACGCAAATGCTGTTTTATGCACTAAGACTGAGCATTGCCCCATGTAGGCACTGCCTAATTTAGATTAGGTTCCACATTTAAAAGCCCATATTCCTTCAAGAGTTGAGAGCACCCTCTGAAGGGCCAAAACAATCAAATCTCATATAGGATGTACTGCCTTCTGGTGTTGCTTTTCTCTGTCCCTTGATTATTGAAGGAACCTGGGCTCCTGTTTTGATGCTTTGCATGTCTTTGTTTAGCCCTACATTCACTATAACAAAGCGTAGTAATAGCTTTCAGTGCAGAATGAACTTTGATTTCAAAAGATATGTTACTGTTCAGTAACTTTCCTTTGTAGGGAGATTCTAAAAAGGTATGTTCTAAAAATTCTTAAAAGAGATATAAAAAAAAGAGAAGAATGTCTATATGGAGACTAGTGTGAGCTGGTTTTGAGTTTATATATATGTACAGGTAAGCTCTTGTATTACTTCAGCATTTGAGTGATATTGGAGTGAGTCACTACAGTGTTCAGCAGAAAGTGCTTTCCTTGGCCCTTCTTTTTCCTCTGCACTGTGGAATGTAGGCGAGAGCCTCGCTGGTTAGAAGTGTGTTGCATCTGATGCCCGCAGAGTAAACACTCTATTCACTTTGCCAGTGAACCATTCAGAGGCTTTCCTTGAGTGGATAGGAAGGATGAGAAAGATGAAAAAGGCAAATAAATATTTGGAAGAAACAGCAAGGCTAAGTCTTAGTGTGCCACAGGACTATATGCACATGCCTCTTGCAGAGTTAACAAGTTGGGTTTAACTATCTTTGAAAGACTCACAAATTAGGCTTTGTGCAATACCTGTGCATAACTATTACAGCTGAGAAAATGAATGTATCATTTCAGGGAGTCTGAAATGAAGTCATATCTTGAAAGATACATGTCCCTTCCCCCAAACTGGACATGTCTTTGGAACCGAATACTTTCCCTTTGTGTTGCCAGCAGAAGGTGAAAAGATGCAGTGAAACTGGAATGCTGCTTTTATGTTATCTCTGCTAGTAAATATTTAGTTGAAACAGAAATGACTCACTGAATCATGAGGTCCTTATCAGCAAGATCAATTTGGCCTGGGCAAAGTCTACATTTTTTTTCATCAGAAACGTGGATTTGCTGAAGAAATGTGCTTCTGGATTCCAGGAGTTTCTTTATATAGTAATAATAATAGAAAAGATGAGAGCATAAAATAAAATCAAAAAATTTGAAAATAGACTGGATCAGTGTAATTTTATTTTATCTCACATGTAAATTGGGAATGTGAAGCGTATATTACCAAATGGAAGGTGTTGCAGTTCATTAGACATGCTAAAGCTTTGAATCAGACTTTAATTAGGCAGTTTGCACTACTTAATGTGATTGTATGAGAATGGATTTGAGGACTTGGCCCTTCTTACTGATTCTTGTGGCTAATAAAAGTTATCGCTGTAGCTCCAGAATTCCCAGCTGAGAATGGGACTTGGCCAATTGAAGCTCTTCGATTAAGAGAAGACTGTAACAATATTAATATTAACTCTCATGTTTATTTGAGGAGTGCTATACTATCTTGAAATGAGACTTAATGGTCAGAATGCCTGTGCATAAATATTAACTGTCGCATTTCCTGGCATTTGAGAATTTAACCTTAACAAACTTGTTCTGATATAAAATTGCATTGGGCTTTAAAAAAAAAAAAAGGAAAACAGAGTAAGATAATCTAAGGAAGGAATTTAATTCTCTAGGACAGGAAAGTTTTGTGATTTGTACGATTGACTGCAGTAATCATGTGTTATGACCTGTGCCCCTTTGTAATATTTTGTTCTTTGTATTTGAGTCAGTTGGCAGGACAGAAGCCTCCTCCAAATTTTAGGAGTCGATGAACTTTTGTGATGCTATATATGCTGATCTCCCAAGAGTTCAGTAGCCATCCTTAATCCCTCACACCTCACTAGGAGTGAACCTAGTGCCCTTCAAGGGCACTTCTTCAGCCCACACATATATTCATTAACCCTTTGCCATGCAACAAATTCGGCACGCACACAAATCTTAGCTACAGATTCTGAATTTGGTGGAATCCTTGACAGAACACAGCATATGTGTCTAGTGTGTAATTTGCAAAACAATAGCTTGAACAAATTTGAAATCAGACTAGGGGAAGAGCTTTGGGTATTTTGGTCAATGACAGCCATCCCAAACCATGATATTTTATATCAATTTTTCTCCATTCTGAATACTCAAAATATCGCCGTACTTTTTTGTGTGTGCATGCGTTAGAAAGGAAACCAAAAAGGAGTATCTTCCCAGAGATGGTGTATAAAAGTCTTTAGCCTAAAAAGTGGGAATAATTGAAAACAAAAGAAGCTGAAATCTTTAGTAACCTGTTTTGTAGAATCACAAGCATTAACACAGTTGGGGTGAAACTTGTAGTCCTTTGTGAGACAAACTGACTTGGGAATAAATTTCGTCTGCATAAAGATACATGCTGTATCCTGCTTTACCTTCTTCCCAGTTACTTCTGTGGAGCTATTCCTG